CCCGCACCTTGCTCAGCCAGTGAGCGGCCGGTCTGCATGTGGGATCCGAACCCTCGGCGGGAGTGCCACCGTGGTTCCCAAGTGGCGCACTGTAGCAGTGCGCCACCGGGCCGGCCCTTCAGTCACCTTTTTCTTTGAGATTAGCAAAAATTTCCCCCTAAACAGAAATATTTAACATATGTTTGTAAACTACACATGTAACTACAAAAACATATGCAAACTACATATGTAAACTACAAACATAACGTCAGATACTTCTAGGTGCTTGGAACCATGCTATGCCCTAGAAATACAAAAATGAACAAGACATAATCCCTGCCCTCAAGAACTTCACAGTCTCTTAGGGGATGCAGATACCTTATCCAACTACTGGAATACAACTGTGAGAAGTTCCAAATAATGGTACAGCACAGGGTTATGGGAACCAAGGTGGTGGGAGTGGGGTGGGGAGGGAGCAATGAGCAATGAGATTTTCTATACCAATCAGCAATCTCTCTGCAGGATGGGAACATAACCAGAGTAGTTTAACCAGGTCCTATAGTTATATGTAAGAACATAGCAATTGCCACTTCATGGTGGACAGACCCATGCTTCATAATCTCTGAGAGTGACACTAAAGGATAGATTATGTCAAAGCAGGTTTCTCGTTAATATATTTACTAAACTACTTCCTCTGGAAGGATGGAGGAAAAAGGATATCATGGTACTCTGGAATTGTAATTATTTGTAATTATTTGGCTACTTCATTCTGCCTGTCTTTTCCCCTTCCTTCATATTCACTATCATTCATCTAACTCAAATGAAGCTTGTATACTGACCCAAGCAAAAGACATTATTAGCATTTCCACCACTTCCCTTCAATGATGAGAGACTTTTGTGAATGAGAACCCTTGGCTTGGTGTTGTCAGCACCACGCTCAGCCAGTGAGCAAACCGGCCATCCCTATATGGGATCCGAACCTGTGGCCGTGGTGTTATCAGCACCGCACTCTACCGAGTGAGCCACGGGCCGGCCTTTTTTTCTTTGTTTTTGAAGGAACTATTATGCCTGAATCCTTACAGGAATAGGAATCAGAGGATAATATAGCAAAATATTGTGATGATGGATAACTTATTACTGGTTAAAATCATCCCCCAAGACAGAAGTCTGTTCTCAGATCAGATTGTGAAAAATGACTTGGATTTCTTTGAAACTTTATGGCGAAAGAGCTTGCTGTGTTTTCATTGACATCTTATTTGCTCTTAAAGTAGCTATCTGTTTTTTAGAAGGATGTGAATCTTGAAAAGTAAGGTGACTTGGCTGAAGTCACATAGAAATATTGGAAAAAAGAATCAGGCTCTGATTGACCCCTCACTTAAAACATGTTAAGATCTTTAAAAAACAAAACCAAAAACCTTTAAAGTCAATAGAGGATATTTCTAGGTCTGGCTGCCGCCGCCTTACTTAATTCCCTGTAGTAGTTGAGGCATTGCTCTGAGGAGGAAATACAATACAAATACAAA